TATTTCTACTCTTGATTGTATTGTATTTGTGCACCTCATTTAAAAATATAGTGTATAATTAAGAAATAGAGGTTAATAGATGGTCATCTATAATAGTCAAGCTTATAGTCATGTTAGTTAGGTTTTTTGGATATATAGAGATATATTTCACTTAAATAGGAATTCTTCAAATCTTTCAGAGATCTTTAGAATATTTCACTTAAAATATTTTAATAACTTAGGACTTTTCATGACATGAGACATATCTGCTCCTGGCAGCACCAATTGCTTCAAGAGGAGGATGGGCATTGAAGAGGCCCCTTATGGAGTTTGGCTCCATTTGGGCAAGAAGCTGCTCTTGCCTGGACTGCTTGATGTTATGCTGTATAGAAACTGGACATGCAGGACCCACAGAAAAATGACTGCTGAATTTGCCTAAAGGTGGGACAGTCCTTTGGGGTTCCTGCGTCATGAAAGAGTCTGCCAGACATTCTGCAGGACACAGAAGAAAGCAACTGATGAACTTTGCTATTACAAGGCAGAACAGATCAAATTTCCTACTTCATGGAAAAGTCTGGTGGATACAATGGGCCTGTAGGCTAAAGATGGATGCTTCAACAATACAGAAGAACTTTGGGTGACTGTCCAGGAAGTGAGATGTCTCTGCTAATTCTAGAATTTTGGAAATTGCTTACAATTCACTTCCTGTTAACTTAAGTAATATTATATTCTTCTGGAGTCTTTGATGGAGTTGAAAAATAGTTATAGTTACAGTTTTCCCTAGTTATGATAAATATATAATATATACAAATGTCATAATTATAATTCTTGCTTGATATCTGTTTTGCTATATGCAATTTTACTATGTTAAAATTAAAACCTCCCTTTCATTTAGACAGAAAAGGAGAAATGGTGTGGGACATCCATCTGTATATGTGTTGCTTTTATTGGTTAATGAATAAAGAAAATGCTTTGGCCTGTGATAAGGCAGAAGAGAGCTAGGCAGGAAAGCTCAACTGAATGCTGGGAGAAAGTAGGCGGAATCATTAAGCTGCCAGAGGAGAAAGATGCAAGCCACCAGCTGGAACGTTGCCAGCAGGCTATGAGCCTTGTGGTAAAATATAAAATAGGAGAAATAGGTTAATTTAAGATGTAAGAGCTAGCTAGAAATAAGCTTAAGCTATTGATACATTTATACTAAAGAAAATGATTATGAGGAATAGCTGCATTGACTTTAAATCAGTGATTTTGGATTTCATGCTTGTAGTAGTAATAGTAAGATTATTTAAAACAAACAAACAAACAAACAAACTTTCATTTGTTAGATTTGACTATGCAAGTTTCTTGTTTCTCCTTTACCTAGAAGCACTTTCTGTTTCTGAGGAAAAAAAAATGACAATTTGAAAAAAAGAGTCACATCTAAATTGTATTATCAATTAAGCAATGAAAGAAAAATTATGTTCATGTACTAGCTTTTTGGGAACCTACTCTGTTTGGATGCATACCTTCCTAGACCTGGATGGAGGGGTGCCTTGGAATTTCCACAAGGCAGGGCACCCTGACTTCTCTTAGGACTGGAAAGCGAGGGGGCGGGGGAGGGGTGGGAGTGGGAGTGGGGGGAGTGTGAGTGGAAAGAGGGGGGGAGAGGAGGGGAAGGGAAAAGAGAGGATGGGAGGAGGAGGAAATGTTAAATAAATTTAAAAAAATAAAAAAGAAAAATTATGTTTTAATACAAAATTCAATTTAAGCCATATCTAAAAACAACAGGAAAAAACTGTTCATATGATAAAACTACCTATAACATAATTCTGAACCCAGTTCACATTTCCACTCTGCCCTTAACTGCTTGACAAAAAGCAGAATTTATAACTATGTCTTGATCTATATATCTGTATTTGTACCCTGTGTGCCTGACTCTGTCTATCCATGTATCTGTTTTTATGCATCTATGCACACATACATGCATGATGTATATATGAATGCAGGCATGTATTATGTATTTAGCTATCATCTATCTATCTATCTATCTATCTATCTATCTATCTATCATGTATCTATCATCTTTCTATCATCTATCGTATTTTATCTACCTCTAGCTTAATGTCTATTGCCAATGCATATCTGTTAATATCTATTAACTTATCTATATTTTCTATATCTTTGTGTTTCCATAATGATTTCTGTATCTTATATATCACTAAAACTATAAATGCATTGCCAGGCAGTGGTGGTGCACGCTATTAATTCTAGCATTCTGGAGGCAGAGGCATGCAAATCTTTGTGAGTTCGAGGCCAGCCTGGTCTACAGCGCTACTTCCAAAACTAGAAAAACCCTGTCTTGAAGAACAAAAAGACAAAAAAGTTACAAATGCATTAGAGAACATAAAAAATATTATAAAACAGAGGCATTCATTAAAAATAAGAAGCAGCTAGAATAGATGCTTGGGAAAACCAAATACAGAGGGGAAATCTGTGAACACAAGAATAATCTTGAGGAACTCCTAACCTAGATCTCTATTGACAAATTGCAGTTGCCACATCTGTACAAATGACAAACAGCACCAAGTGCCACCTAAATTCAGGAACCCAAAATATGCACCTACATGTTCCTTTCTCTCAGCTGGCTTGTCAGCATACAGTTGCAAATTCAGTTTCTCCATTTTTCACAGCTGTGGAATGGTTCTCTGAGTGTGCCTGCATTTGGGAACCATATCCTGGCCAGATCCCTTTGAGCTTATACCAACAAGTAAGATAATGTGGAAGTACTCCATAATGTCTATGGAATGAAGCTTGCCATTATTAATCTGTACTATCCCTTCTGCCAACCTCCATCTCCCTCTCCTCCTTGGCCTCTCCTCTTTTTCCTCTATCATGTACTTCATCACCTCTGCTTTTATTCAAACCAATGAGTCATCCCCATTGCTTGATAATGGACACACTTTGACTTCTTTAACTTTTGACTGATTCTGACATCTGGGATTTGGATTTTTTTGAACTTGGGCACAATGTTTGGTCCTTACTAGAATAAAAGACTCCAGGTATGAAAACCTAGCCCTACCTACCCACTGCTCCAGGACTGAAAGTTTGCTCCCACTGAATACAATTACATATAATTATTGATGACAAGCATATTTCCTCTCCCATCCTACACAGCCAGTCCATCACTGTGTATCCATCCACACATGCTTCAGGAAATGTGTCTCTGCTTGGAGGCAAAAGACACTAATCATGCACTAACCTCTACTTTTTCTGTTTTTTACCATGGAATTGATGAGATTAGAAATAACAAACATATTGTAATTAAAATTGTTATGATTCAGAAGCAAGCATTAATTTGTTTTACTGATATTCTTCTTCAAATCCCTCAGTGTTCTTCTTGTGGCAAGCCATGTGTTTCTGCCGGCACACATATCTTAATATAAATGCTAAGATGTTTCCACATGGGAAGCAATGGTGAATGGGTTCCTTCTGGTTTTCCATCACCAATGAATATAAATGAAATAATTCCAGTTGCCTGATGAGTCTCCTTGCTAGTGATGACACATTTATTGAGGTAGAGTTCTTGAGTTTTCATAAATCAGTTCTGTGGGAAATCTGATATACATGCTAAATTTTGTCTATAACTGCTTTTCTTGGGAGAATTTTCACAACTTTCACCCAAATCTAAAAGAATCAATGTTGCCAAATGTTAAGAGTAACTGGTTTGGAGAGTGAATGTGGTGTGAATACTCAAGATTGAAAATATTTCAGGTCTTCCTATTATGAATTTAGCACGTATTCTTACAATAAGAAATATCTTTAAAGAATCAAATGCTTTTTTGAATCGTTAAAAAAGTATTCAGAACTCACTTAATTATAGGAGGGCATATACATATATTTTCAATGTGTCCTGATACTAATTTTAATTTATTTAAATACTTGCTTGACAGAGAAAGCATATGGTGTTGCTATAATAGTCCTGAATGGAATTAGAAGATTCTGTTCTGATCCCAGTTTTAGCACGAAATTAGCATATAACCTTGATCAAAGTCACCTGAGCTGGCAGAGTTTTTGACACTCTTAAAGTGGTTTCAGATTACTTTTTATTAGGAATCAACATAAAAGGGTACCAAATATAGGTTCTCTGAGGACAGAAGACAGGCCTGGGACCCAGTCTAACCTTTGTGGACTTTCTGCCACTGGGCTATAATGTGATCTTCCTGGCTCTGGAATTTTTCTGTGGAAAGGCACAAGGCATGCTATAGATGTCAATTGTCAGCCTTAGGCTGTGACCCTCACTGAGAAGACTAGATGACTAGACACAGAAAGTCTTTGGATGTAAAACACAACTTGGTTCTGCAGCTAAGTTTGCATCTTTGTAGTTGCTAGGACCATGCTTGCCACTGAGGAAGATCTCAATGGATGCCTGTAAAGTTAGTTAGGAGTATTATGTCAAGTATTTGGTAACTAACACACAACTTTAATCCCAGTACTTGGGAAAGAAGAGGTAGGCAGATCTCTGAGGAACTTGGTCTACATAGAAAGTTCTAGGCTAGTCAGAGATACACAGTGAGACCCTGTTTCAAAACAAACAAACTCAAGAACTAATACATGAAAATGTAAAACTATTATATGAGTGTCAGTATATTGCAGGCACTGTGCGGGGGGGGGGGGCTTTTCTACTTAGCATCTCATTTAATCCTTGCATCAGCCCTGAGAAGAAAGTTTGGTAGTAGCATTAAGCCTCATTTTACAGCTATTGGGCTAATAAATGTTAGGTCAATTCTCCATCTCAGGCATCCTGAGGTTAGAATGCTTTTACATACCAATGATCACACTGCTAAAACATGTTACCCTCTAGTGATTTACTAATATTTCCCCCTTCTATCTACTTCTTTTACCATCTTTCTCCCCCATTTTGACACTAATTCTAACAAAATTAAGCAAATATGAACCCATCATTAGGGTTAGGAATAGCGATTCTTGCTTTCATCCATTGCTAACATGAATATGAGTAAGGGTAAAGAAATTTTGTAACTTACTAGGTCCAAGGCAGCAGCTAGGATGGATGCATCAGGAATTGTCCCTGGCTCACAGCAGTTGAGCAGAAATTGAAAACGTTTCATGCCTTGCCGGATTGCTCCCAGATTCACCACATTTTTGCTTTTTCCACCATCTTGGTTGGGAGAAAGATGGTCGTCGAAACTGTGGCAACCTGTAGCGGTTGTGTCATTGTGAAAGGAGAGAGGGGAATGGATCATAAACCAGTGTCAAAGTCACACCAGTACGTTTTCAGTCCTGATGGCCTGAAGACATGCAACAGATAAAAATTCAGGATTTTCACTAAACAACTTCCCTGTAGGGTTCGATTCCTTTGTTAGTCTATCTCTAAGTTGTGCATAAGACTGGCGCGTCTGAAATAAACAAAAGTGGGCACTTAAGTGTTAGGCTCACAGTTGAGGAAGAGAGTGCAGAGAAATCAAAGGGAAGGACAACAACCCAAAGATATTTTCATCTCTTCCATGAAGGAGAATATTCTGCACATGGGAAAGTCTGGTGCCTTTGTTAATTGGGGCAGCTATAATGAAATACCACAGGCCAGCAGACTTGTAAAATACTAATATATGCTTCTCACAACTCTGTGGCCTGCAAATCTGATCTTGGGTTAAAGGACATTAAATTCTTTCTGGTTTAGTTATATTCTCAAATGCCCTTTCCTTGTATGTGCACAGAGATATCTCTCTTTTATATAAGAATACTAAAACCCATTCATGGTCATGTGACCCTCGTGATATCTTCTAAACCTAACCACCTTTCTAAAGTCTCATTTCCAAATGTTATCACACTGTGAGCTGAAAGTTCATAATATGAACTTTGTATGGATGCAAACATTCTACCTACAGCATATGGAAATCTATAGTACATGGAAAACATTCATTAACAAGGAACATTTCCCACCCCATCCTCTTAGGTTTATGTTGCAGGTACATCGCGTTAACGCTCCAGTGTGTAGAAAAAACTTAGAGATAAGATCCCAGCACCAGCCAGGTGACATCGAACTAGCACAGCGCAGACCTCAGGACACACATTAGCATCATTCTCAAAGAGCAAACACGGAAACATTGTCTTGATGATGCTGATGATTCTGAACACTAGAGATTGTCTCTGAAATTCCACAGGAAGTGGGTAGAGAGTGAACAAACTGGAATGATGAAGCTGTCAAAGACCTAGGCTGTCAGGAAGAGCCTTGGGGGGAGTTTTTACCCTTCTTCAGTACTGAGAAACAAATCTAAATCCTCAACTATTAAACAAGTGCTCCACAACAACCCAAAAGTTCCAGCCTAGGTGGACACATGAAACCTTATCATGACACTCATTGATAGAATGACAAACTAGCAAAAGCTGACCAATACAAGCAGCTATGTGATGAGAACACCGATCATGTATTTTAAAGTTCTGTTCACACATTTGCTACATCCATGACTTAGACTATTGGCTACACTGATTAATTTCAAATATGGCCTGCTATATTCCATATAAAGCTCCACAGTTGACAATGCTCACCATCTACCACACACACACACACACACACACACACACACAGAGAGAGAGAGAGAGAGAGAAGTCAGGATATGTTAGAACCAGAAAAGCTTCTATGGAATAAAAATTAAAGAAACCAAAGACATTAGGCAAAAGGGGATTAAAAGAGAGAACAGGAAATGAGTGAGAGGGGTTGCAGCACTGTGTGTAGCTATGTATGTGTGGTTACAGATGTCATCACTAGGACAGATCATCAAGTTTATGGGCAAATATATTTTCAGATTACAAGGAAAGATTTCCTAACAATTAAAGCTGTCTGACTCTGGAACAAATTGCTTTGTTAAATTGCACACTCCCCCTCAGCGGAAGTGCACAGAGGGAGGGTGGCCACCTGTCAGCCATGCGGTGAAGCGATGAACAGAACTCTGAAGCTGAGTGGTGGGTGGATGGAAGGTCCTGTGACTCTCAGATTCTAACAAAGACAAGAAGTCATGTCTTATTCTCTGCACACTCAGTGCCCACCAGGGGGTGAGAATCACAGTGAGGCTTCTATAAATGTCTCTTCCACAAAACTGGTAATAAAGAAGCTATAGATAGCAGTGAAAGACACATTTAAAGAACAAAGGAAAAGATAATACAAATAGAAAATGACTATTTTTTTAAGAGACAATTTTGGGAAAAAAAACAGAGAAGTATTTAAGTAACTGAAAAGAAGAAAAGCTGAACAGGATCCTTGGGTTATTGACAGTTACCAAGACGCTTGAAGAAATTCTCCTCCTCTTCTCGGCCATTCTCCACCCCACTCCCTGGCCCACCTTCAGAAAGCTTGACAGCGCTGGTGAACTTGACCTGGGAAGAAAAGGGAAGCCATTAGATAGTCAGCAGCCAATCGCTGCCTTGGTTCTACTAGCCCTTGGTTTGAAAAGTACATTGTTTAGGGTGTGAAAATGTTCTCTGGCTTCCACATCTAATAAATGCTGTTATGTAATACATTCTCATGTTCTAAAAAAGATGTCACTGCAGGTGCGAGGAATGCCAGATGAAAGATCAGAAGCTGAATGGGAAAATAGTTTAGTAAACAGCTTAGACATGTGTTAATTCGGGTAAAGTCCAAAACGAATGCCGTATTCATCCTTAGTGAACTCAGCCACAGTTGGAAATCAAAGAGAAAGATGACGAGATTGACTTAAATTTACAAGTCAATTTATAACATAATATTCTCCCCTACTCCCTTCCTCTCTTTCTCCTTCCCTTCCTCCCTCTCTTTTCCTTTTTCTCCCTTATTTTTCACTCTTCTAGAATTGAATGTAGGAACTGTTACACACTAGGCAAGTGCTCTATCACTGGGCTACATCCCTAACCTTGTTGACTTATCAACTCACTAAATTGCCCAGGCAAATCAGGCCAGTCTTCAACTCATTCTATAACCCCAGTTGGACTTGAACTAAGACTAAGTTCACTTAGTCTGCCACTAAGCTCTCCAAGGCACTACCAGACTTGGCTTTATTGACTTAAGGTCAACTCGGTAAGATTGAAATAACTTAGTACAAAAAGGAAGCTAGAAGCAAGCAGACTCAAATAACTGTCTGGAATTTTTGCAAAAAAAATGTGCATAAGAATTCCAATGATATTTCCTTAATTTCCATCACTCTATCACATTCTTCATATATACATATAGCTATACAGATGTAGGCAAGCTAAAGCTATTTACTGTGTCTTTCCTTAGTTTTGCTCTAATGGTAGTTTAATAAGTAAATATTTCAGTTTCTATTGCTTGTCTAATTTCTGAACTTGTTCAGCTCCAAGGTTTGTGTAACTCTTTCTATGCATTTAACATTCTTTAGCCCCAACAGTTTTTAATCAGCCATCCTGATGTTCACTTCAGGAGTAATGTTCTGTTTACCTTGGAACTTTGCCTGATGAAAGACAGGCGATCTACAGAGCTAATGTCCAGGAGGTCCTCGACACCATCTGCCAGGCCAGAGAGGGAGGAGCGCTTCAACCAGTTTCCTAGTTAACGATATTTTGAAAAATTAAGCTGTTATAGCCTTTGCTTTCAAACGGATTAAAAGAAATCCCAGCACGTACTGAACTAGCAATGAAAGTCAACATGGCTCTAGTATAAATAGAAGCAAAAACAAGTTGTGTTCAGTATACATGTTTTGAATCAAAATGTTCAGGGTTGAACTATAAAAGGACACGAGCACATAAATATAGGACAAAGAGATTTGGTCCCTTCCACTGCAGAGAACCACAATCCATCCATGCATGCTACAATAGTTCTCCATATCTCTTGAAAACCTATACATTTACCTCCTAAACAGTTCTCAAATCTGTCTATTTCTCTGTTTCTGCTTAATCCACAATCTAAATGGGCCACTGGCAGCTTTCTGTCAGATTCTCTTACCATGTGCAACTGTCTTTTATAAGGTTCACCAGCTTGCATCATTCTGCTCCCCCTGACACTTGGGAGTGTGAGGGACGTGGTAAAGTGCCACCTGACTTGCACATGATCAGGCTCGCTCTTCTGAGGCAGTGGGTCCGCCATTTTCCTATGGAATGGGTTCCTCCCAGCCTATGAGTTTTGCACATTACCCTTGGACTCTTCTCGTCCTTACTTTGTATGGGTCAGGCTTCGTTTGTGTCTGCCTTCATAGTACTGCGTGTTTTCTCTTCACAGAACTCATAGTTTGCAACTGCACTTAGTTTTGTGATGATCTGCTTTAGTGGTAGTGGCTCCTGCTCAAATTCAGCAACACCAAGAGTTGTGTATTTTGCACTGAGCAGATGCATGCAGTGGATATTTGGGAAATATCTGCATTTAGCAGAAGCGTGAATGAACTAATGGAAGGATGTCAGGCGAGGGCTTGCAACTTGAAAGCTTTTCTTCTCAATCCACTGACCCACCCACCCCCACGCGTGCCATGTTTTGTCTCAATTACTCATGGATTTGATGGCATGATAATAAGCGAATCCATAAATAAATACAGACATACTTTTACCTATGGGGAGTTTCAACTTCTTCCTCAGGGAGATTCTGCGCGACCGTGAGCGAGCACGCCGGTCCGAGGTGTTCCCTGAGTGGGCTGTGGTACATTCTGAAGTGTCTTGCTCAGACTGGCTGCTGGTGTCACTTGCTGCGCTTTGGGATTTGAACATCTTGCGCCAGAAGTCTTTCCGTCCCAGATTGCCCCCTTGCATTTGTTCATCACTACAGAGAAGTAGAGAATAGGGTTAAATAACATCGCACAGCTCAGTGCCCTCTCGGCTTCCAGCTCTGGTTTTTAGGCAAATTGTGCAAGATGCTCTTTGATGGGCTGGATAGGAGAAGAGAGGGAGAAAGCATGGGAGTCGAGAGGCCAGCGTTGGCTCTGAGCTCGTCCTGGAAACAGTGCTGTCTCAGTAACCTCGTGAAGGTGGTCATTTTTTCAATTTTAATAAAAAGGCTAAATATTATTGCAGATGTCCACCTACAGTATGAGTCATAACAGCAGAAGCACTTGAAATGCCAGTAAATATTTAACTTTTTTAAAAGCACCCTGGCTCTTGTGCAATGTCCCAGCCCTCCCTGCAGCACAGTATCACACTGGCTACCCAATAAACTCTCAAGGGGATGTCCATGAATTAATGAATGAGTGACCAAAATTTTATCATCATGTCTAAGGGATATGTCATTCTACAGCCAATGAAGTTGAAAAACGTGTCAAGTTAAAAAGTGAAAATATAGGTCTGACCAAAAAGAACATGTCAGAAGACCTAATGAAGGTTTTCAATTAGGAGAAGTGACTAGTATTATGAGAACTTTATCTTGAAATAATAATAACAATAATAAGCTAAAATTCTCGTTTTTTACCCACTAAAACTGGATAAAAAAGATTAATGTGGTTAGAAGGAGAAAGCAATGTCCCATCATACTGGAGATAAAGCATCTTGGTATTTTTGGAACATTTATATTCTGTGCAACAAGGTATATTTTTGAAAGTCAATATCAAGCCCCTAAGCTAAGAAATTCAGTTTCTAAGAAGTAATATCAAGGGAAAGATGGGATTGTTCATAAGACAGGAAGAGGTATGTGTGGCCAATGTTGAACGTAGATGTAATCTCAGGGTCTAAATCTGGGACTTCCTATAGTGACAGAGTCTTGACTGTGTGTACCATTGGCTACAAATGCCGTTAGTCAATTCCCATGCACATTGTTGCCTTCACTGGTGAAGGCACAGTTCTCCACAATAGGCTTACAGTCAGAATTCCTTCCTGGTGTAAGTCAGATTTTAAAATGAACACAACGAGCCATTACTATTACAGACAAAATTCAAAAACTTTGTATTATTCTCAAAATAAAAAGTGATTCAGTTAAAAAAAAACCTTTTCAGAAGAAGGTTGTCTTAGACACTATTTCTGACCCACTGTGAAGTTAAAGGCAATGATTGAATAAGTTAAATAAGATAAAACAATGTTAATAACCTTTAGAAATCACACATGTGATCACATGTCTGGGTGTGAATTTGGATGTGCATGCTCAAAAATGTTCCCAGCATAAAATGAAAGGTTTGTAGAGTTAGCTTTAGTAGTAGTATTTTGGTATTTTGATTTCCCTTGTATAGTCTTCTGTGTTTTCCATATTTCCATCTTGAACAGCATGCATTATGCTTGTAGTTTGGAAAGAAATAATACTAGAAAATGTTTTAGTGTTGTGACGACACTTATTTAAGGATTTTATGTAAATTTTGTTTACATGTTTCAGGGTAGAGTCCTGAATTGATCCAAATATTGATAATATTGTATAATACAATCCTCTTCAGGAAATAAATATACATAGTAAGTTCTATATGTTGTAAGGTTTTCTTCTAAACTACGCCATTATGTTTATGAATAGGTATATATTTGAATTAGGTTTCTAGAATTGACAAGTCTGTAAGCTAGGAGGGCAACAGTGTGCCACGCTCTTCTTGGCTTCCCAAAGAAGAGGCATGATGGTGAGAGCCTGCGTAAATGCAAGCAGAAATATCAATAGGAAGGTATGTGAAAACAGTCATATGCCAAATGTAGAGGAATTTGGTGTATCTACAGAACACCGAAAAAGAGAATATCTGGAGTTCTAAAAGAACCCAAACATGTTTTAGCATAGCCGATTTTATTTTGAAAATTAAAATTATCTTTTAGAATATTTTCATTTATCAGATTACTTCAATAGTTGCCAATGCTAATTGGGGGAAAAATCATGTTTCCTCTAATGTCTTTTAATGAGTCCTCTGGCCACTTGAATATGAAATTTATTTTATCAGTTCTTTATGCTCTGTTTGGAGCTAAATTTGGACCCTTGTCATGTCTTTGAGGATTTCTGTAAAGGAAAACTTAAAGTTTAATATTGAAGAAAGAAGTTAAAGAAAGTGAAACGAAAGCTTAATGAAAGTCTGAAGGTTCCATCCTCCAAGCACTGCACACTCTTCATACACTGAATGCATATTTTCATTTCTTCTGGAAACATGTATATTATCTAAAATGAGTGACGCTCCATCTTGGTGCTATACCTTTATCAATAAATATGTGTGGTTACTGGGCCCATTTACTTAACTAATTGCAAAAAGGCACAATCTCTATGATTCTGAAGCACACAAGAACTGTGTGGACATTCATGGTTTTGATGAACTCATTTTTATTCTCCTATGTTTGATGAATGTTGGCTTCTCACCTTTAATTTACCTTGTTATGAAGGAAGGATATACTAATACCTAGAATATTTGGAAAATTACTAGAACAATAATATTATTAAATAGGGTTGTGGGAAGCAAAATTATACACCTACAATGATGTATGTTTTAAATGTAGAGTACTCTACGTGTGTGTAAATAATTCCCAAAGACAAATGAGTAATATGCTCACATGGGCCTAGTCTGTGCACTTAATGTTTGTAGTAACCTCACACCTTCTGCAGCCACTAACTTGAAGATGCTTTTGACTTTCATCGGTGTGAAAACCAGAGATAAAGCTGGGGGGTGGTGGCGTAGGTCTTTAATAGCACTTGGGAGGCAGAGGCAGGTGGATCTCTATGAGTTCAAGGCCATCCTGGTCTACAAGAGCTATTTCCAGGACAGGCTCCAAAGCAACAGAGAAATCCTGTCCCTAAAAACAAACAAACCATAGATATATTGATGTTAAGGCACTGGAATGGGTCTAAGACCGCAGTGCCATAAAGTAGAGTCTACATTTCAGTTGAAATTCAGCAACTTTGAAACATACCCCTCTTTTTTATTCTAAAAGAAAAAAAGAGTATTCATTGAGAATAATGAGAAGCAATTTATCCATTTTAAAGTTGTGACTCTTAAACAGGGAAGTACATGGCAGCTCTTAAGCAGGGAAGTACACGGCAGCTCAAATGCATGCCAATTTTCATGTTTACTGCTGCTGAGTGAAAGGCGGAGGTACAAGGAAGGCAAGAAGGAAATACAACTAGAGAGCCTTTCTCCAGGCACAAAGGTTGTTATTTGGCCTCACCTGGACTAATCGGTGGCACTGGGAATATAATTGTAAGAGCAGAGGGCCACGTTTCAAGGAAATGAAAGCAAACTAATAAAAATCAAATTAAGAAACAAAGACCCAAAAGTAGTTTAGAAAATAAATTTCCTTTCAATGTGAAGTGCCTAATTCTCTTCATTGAAGACAAAACTTGATTCTGCTTACTGTTCAGGTGTCTGTGAGGGGCGACCAGACATGAAGCTTCGACATTCCTCAGGTGCAGAGGACACCTGGCCCTTATCTGCGATGCTTCCTGCCTCCGACCTAGACAAATGGCACATGGCACCAATCACCACAGAGCAGGTCATCACTGTTTGATCTCTCCTATGCTCTACAAAGGGAACCGTCGGCTACTGGCAACACATCTGCTTGCTGGCATTTCTCCCCATGAGCCCATTTTGTGTGGAAGTTAGTTTACTACTAGACCTGATTCCCCAGCAGTATCTCACTACAGCAAGCAGGGGCCTTACATGCAAGCAAAACTTGGAGTCTAGAGGCTTTTAATCCTTGTAAGGGCTGTCTAACATACAGTAGGCGTGAAATAAACACACAATTACTGGAAAGATAAACAACACAGTATTGCGTAGCAATTTTTCCCTGGAGTGTTGGGAACTGAATCCAGGATACTGTACAAGCTAAGTAGGTACTTTACTACTGAGCTATATCTCAGTCCAGCAATTTGTCTTTTCACTGCCTCTAGAACACCATTTACTGAACAAAAGAACATGGTGTCAGTAATTGTTTCTCTTTTCTTGGTAAAATTATAAATTATATTTTAAAAAGACTAAAGCAAAGATAAAGTTTTACAATGCAATTAAGAACTATAGAGTGAAATTTGAGTATATGAGCTCATTCCATTTAAAAAAATAAATAAAAGAGGTTTATTTAACTCATGGCTCTGGAGGTTTGGGAACCCAAAGGCAGGTAATGATGGCTTCTTACCATGTTGCTGTAGAAAGGATGTTACAGGGCATCACATGGCAAAAGAGTCGGCTGTTCATAGAATACTCACTCTCACACAAAGCCATTGCCGTGATAATTTATGAAAACACTATCTACCCATGTGGGCGATCTTTGTAACCCAATTTTCCCAAAGCTTCCACCTTAAAAAGTCATTTATTTTAAAGCTTCAGTCAGACTATGTGAGTGATACCAGTTGTATCGGATAGCTTTACCATCCCTGTGCCGACTTTGTACCACTCCGGGAGACACATGCACAGCATGCTGAAGGGTAACGTCCTCCTGACGGTTAACAAACACTAATATTCAAAGAGCTTCCCACCTTTTACCACCTGCAGGCTTAGACTCCTGTCCATTTTCCTCCACCTTTTTCCCTGGCGCTAACTTTTCAGCGCTGTCAAGCAGAGCGCTAAGCGCCACTCTCCTGAAGACGTTCCCGTGAGCTTCTTTGATAAACTGGACCAGCTGGCGGATGTCACAGTACAGTCCCTGTTTGGAGGCAAGAAGAAGGTTTGGGAGCAGTCCAGGTCACCAGAAAGCTGTCTGGTGAGATGTCCTGGGTTTGGATGAGTGGCGGAGTCCTGAGAGGAGGACGACAAAACACTCCTGCAACATCTGCCAGATCTGACCAAGACCTTACGCTGAGATCCCAGCCCTGTCCCCTCACTGCCCACAGCCAAGCTCACTCACCCACTATCACCCACATCCTAGTGGCCAGAGCAAAGCAGAGTAAAGATAAAATGGCCTTGTCTGGACAAACAACCGCATGATGGAGAACCTAGGCACTCGTACATAGGTCTCTGAAACTCTATTAATTTCCCATTCTCCAAACACCCTTTATAAACTCCATGTATCTCCTCCCCTTTTAGCAGACATGCCTTTCCTACTGTGTCTGCCCCTCACTGTTAGAAATAAACATAATATTATTTAAATAATAAAAAATAGTACCGTCTGCTGAGGTAAAAACAAAAAAACAAAAAAACAAAACCAGATGTGTTTGGTTTTTCCATTTTTCCTACAGGAGAATGCTACTCTACATACTCAGTAGAGGATAGAGAGCAAGCTTCAAATTCGTAGTCAGCTGTACCACTTGGAAGACATCAATCTATGCTCTTAAACGTTGGCCGCCCAAGTTTACTCTATTAATTGTGAGTTCCAAAGAGAACGTTATTTTGCCAGAAGAAGAGGGGGAAAAAAGGTAACCAGAATTTTGTTTAGAATGGAAACTTTAGCCCCTAATCAGCTTCTCCATAAGGCCTGGATTATTATGGTTTTATGTAGAGTAAGTCATTTATATAATTCTAATGAAGGTTGATCATTGTGAGGATGATGAACTTTCCTGGACATACATAGTAAATGATATGTATGCTGTAGTGGCACTGAGTGTGCTATGGCCACGAACCTAAGACTGTGAAGAGGGGCCTATAATGCCAGAACAGTGGTGGGTTGATTTTAAAAAATGTGTATATACTTATATTTCCTTGAGATACTAAGTTTTGTTCCATGATTCCCTTCTTTAAAGTGGTAGTTACCTCAGCTTTGTGGTAAAACAGAATTTAAGGACTTAAAAAAAAATGACCTTGATACCTTTGTTTTTCAGAATCCTACTACAATGGGACAATTATGCTCATGATATTCAGGAAGGAAGAAGGACCTTCAAGGACAACAGAAACCATGTCCGTTGTGTCCTGTGGGGAGCAGGGCCTTGAGTCCTGCGCTCAATTCTTCATTTGCCCATCCATGTAAGAGAAAGACAGCTAAGAGCAAATTTTCTCTTTTCACCAGGGCGTCCAAGGGCCTACACATCAGCAGGGAGCACTGTCGTAAACAGCTCCTGACAATGGCCGGGTTCTACTCACTCTACGCACATTGTCTGAGACTTTGTGGAGTGGGAAACCTAAGAGTGACTCGTTTGACTCGAGTTATTCTGCTAGGATAGCAGTTCATAGGCAAAGGTAAGAATATGGATAAGTAAAGAATTTAATATTTCTTCTATGTATGAAGTTATAAATTAAGATTTGTAAGAACTCACATGCACCACAATGAGCTTTAAATATCATGTCTAGCCAGAACCAAAACGAATGTATGAATGGTGTCTGTGTTACATTTGAGGTCCAAGAACATTGCAGGGTTGCCATTGACCGTAGCAAAAGTAATTTCCATTTGGTTTATGAAAGTTATGTTTATCTAAAATGAAGCACCTCGCAGTTTAGAATAATATAAAATAATGCCCTCCATTTAGTAAAACAGCAGCTAGGTCCACATGTGTAAATGGGCTCGTTTCGATATAGAAATCACAGCATCTAACAGAAGTAGGAGGAATGCTCTTTTGGTACTCAAAGTGGCCTGAATTCAGCTATCTGTGTCAAGTTTGTCTTCTTGTATCTACACTGAGTATCTCAAGACATTCTGTTCTTGGAAGGACTTGGACATTTCATAATCGTTTTCTCCCACACTACTTGCAACTTCATTTCCTGAATTACCACATGCTTTTATTCAGAGGAGATAAAGATTATAATGTTCAATAAAAGAAAGTGAAACAAATTTCAATAGCATATTTGTATGAGTTCTTGAAAGTAAATACAGTTTCAAATAATTCTTGTAATAACATCCTTTCATATTTCATGAATCAATAACATATTCTATCTATCTCCTTCTTTCTGAAAGGCTAAAAGTACCCATATCCGTGTCACCATGCTCAACACAAGTCTGTGTGGTTGAAAAGGAAGATAAGTGAACTGTAGGTAGGACAGAGGGTTAGGGCTCCATGGTGAGATGGGGTGACACTGGAAAAAAGTGGATACTGTGATTTTAGATGTCAGTTTTCCTTCTTCCAGGTCACAGGATGTGAGCTGCTGTTAGCAATGGGAGAACACTTCTCACCAGATTCTCAGGGCTGTGTAGCTCATGTGTGGTTGAGGCACAGCGTGTGATGAGGGACTTGAACATGGCACCGACGATAATACCCTCCACATTTTGGGCTGTGGATTTGTTGTCCACTGTGGTGAAGTTATTTCCAAATCCAGCCTTGTCTGGAACACAAAGGCATGTGTTAAAGGCAATAAGCAACTGTAGGATGTAAGAAATTGATTGGCAGTTAGGAAACTGGGAAGGTCTGCATGAAAGTTCAGACATGGTGATTTAAGATTTACCAGTGTAATGATCCCTGTGCGGACTAGAAAGACAATCAGTCTACGTCACAGTCTGTGCTGTGATGTGGCCCTGGCAGAGGAGCAGTTGGGTTGATTAATCTTAGAAAGGAAAGGGGGTCAAAAGAAAGTGGGGGGAGAGAAGGGAGGGGAGAGGGAAGGAGAGAGGGAGGGAGGGAGAAAAGAAGGAAGGAAGGAAGGAAGGAAGGAAGGAAGGAAGGAAGGAAGGAAGGAAAGAAGGAAGGAAGGAAGGAAGGCCAACTTACTGGTTTCTCCACAGAGGAAATATAATATGACTGCACCTTCTGTGGTGGGGAACTCTGGCTTTTTTTAGGGGAAATTATCCAGTATGTCAGAAGGGGCATGAGATTGGTCAGCATGAGCTATCGGCAAGGCCGAAGTGCTAGAGTTCTTGTAGAACTGTTGCAGGTCAGGGGAAACTGAGTCCTGCTAGCATTTGTTGCCAGAAGCTCTGGGCACATGTGGGGAGGAAACACTTCCACTCTCCTTCAGCGCAACCTCCTTAACACAGGGCATGGAAAATGCTGGAGACCAAAAGGCTGTGAACGTCCATGGTATTTTAGATTTATTTTTTTTTTTGACATACCCACAGATCTTGAGAAGACACATATGCCTTTTGTGGCTTTCCAAAAGGAATCTTTATGACATGGAAGCCAACTGTGGATTGTGGGAAGAATAGCTCTCAGAGTGATGGATAAGGATCTGTGCTGTGCTGTCCGTCTGAGTCACTGTGACTCACTCTATGTCTCAAGAATCCTCAGAGGAACACAGCATGCTTGATGATCAACCCTTCACTGTCTGGACCAATACTGAAAGTAATGCTGAAATCTGTGCTTAGAGTTCTTCCATCAAATTAGAAATGAGATGGGGAGAAGGGGGGGGGGGAGGTAGGGAGGAAAGGAGAAAGAGATTTAAGCTTATAATTTGTAAATTTTTTCAAAGATCTTCACTATAATCCACACTCAATGTTTTCAAATTTATAAAATGATTAAACTAGCTCTTAGAGGAGATGGTTATTTCAAGGGGTCTACAAGGAAGCAATATTTTCTCTTAGCGTGATAAAATTCCTATTTAATGAGATAAATTACCTTGTGAGGATACCATGTGTCATAAAATTATTCAGAAGCATCTCTTTGTTTTTATTACACACAGTCCCACATGCATACGGGAGCACATGTGAACAGGCATGTATAAATATTTTTCTTCTGAGTTCTAGCCCTAGACATTGAGTGTGCCAGGGAAACACTACCTGCTTCACCTCACGGTGGCAGCTCCTTACACTCAGGGGTGGCTTTACTTACTGTCAGTGACTGGCTCCATACAAAATCCTAGCAAAGCATGCAAGAAGTCCACTACATTATTGAGAGAGTCCTTGTTCACATAGTCCCTCATGGTTTGTCGGAACTGCATCTTATCTAGCTTGTATAGCTTAGTGAGGCAGTTCTGGGCCTGCAATGAAGGAAGAAAAGTGAAAAAGTCACAAGTACCAGCTTAAGCTCCAGACACCATTAGTATGAGACAAAAGTTGCAGAGGGCAGAGACTCCTTCCCCCTCCCTCATACCACCTCCCAATCCTCTCCATGCTAGGCCAAGTCATATGAATAAGAAGTGGGCAGAAGCCAACTAGGCAGTCAGAAGGAGCTTGTATTCGTGAAAAGCCACTCCTCAGAAAAACCCAAAGCTAATGTTCAAGGCTGGTCCCAGAAGAACTCAGTCTTTTCACCAAGGTCAAGATTTTAAGAACTATTAAAAATAACGGAAGATTAAAATTGAAGTAACTCATAGAATATATTGTCTACTTTTAGAAAACCTCAAAGGCTTTCTGTAACTGGAAAAGCACATAAGTTTCCTGCACAGGCACTTTGAAGTTAGATAGGTTTAATACAGAGAGTAAAAACCAGGAGTAGTGAGTGGAAATTCAGTGACTATTCACATTTTTTGATTAATTAATTCGTTTTTTGAGATAGGGCCTCAAGTAACCCAGTATGGCCTTAGGTGAAGATGACCTTGAATTTCTAATCCTCCTGCATCCAACTAATGAATTCTGGGATTAAGGATGTGAACCATCACACCTTGCTAATGTGCTACTGGGTATTTACTCAGGATGCTAGGCAAGTACTCTACCAGCTGAACTGTAACCTCAGCTGTACAGTGACCTCTTATATGCCCAAGAAGGAAAAGGTTCTTGGAACATATAAGAGGCATAAAATATTATATTCATATATTATTTGCTTGTCTTTGAGCATGAAAGAAAGTATTGTATAAGTAGAATTTGGTCTCATGACATAATCCTTCTGCTCAAAATAACAGTATATTTCCTACAGTCTAGTAAATAAGTCTGCCTCCTTGCAAAGGAAAAGAGAATAATTCCTACCATCGACAGCATCAAAGTTCCAGTCACTGAATGCAGAGGTTTCAGACACAACATTCTCATACTACTGGGAACCCTGGGAGGCTGCTAGCTTCCTCCTCATTTGTATGGTGCTTTGCTGTAAAACACACGTTTCTTGCATGAAAAGGCACCAGGTCTTACTTTATTATTTCCTGTTTTTTTTGTTTTTTTGTTTTTTACAGTTGAAGAAAGTGAGGTAGAAAGAAATCAAGGGTTTTGTCTAAGCTGATATTGTAAGTGCTGTGGTAGAGTCAATACCAGAAGTCAGGGTCACGCCTACTGAGGTGTAGTTCTGTGAAATAGACTTATTAACCTTTCAGACGTGGATGGTCCTAGGGAACTATACTTAGATACCAGCCACTCACAACAAGGAGTTGAGATGACTGATACTAGAGACTTACTGGTGTCTTGAAGAAGGCTATATGAACAAAAGAGACACAAGAGAAGTCCTGAAGATGGGATGGAATGGGGAAATGGTGGAGGTGTCTAGGCTGAGAGAAAGGGCCAAAAGATCAAGAAAGGAGATGCAGCTAGGGGAGACCACTTTGAGGATGGAAAACTTTGCAGTTGGGTGATGGTATTGAGGGAGGAGATCTCTGAGAACTGGAATCCTATTGATGAGTTTTTACTAGTCACCCAGTAGAAAACTTAGGTTGTGTTACTATTTGATATGGTTGTGACCCAAGAAAAATACTTGGATATTTAAAAGGAAAAAAAAATAGAGTAAAAGGAACTTGTAACTCACTCATACTTTTGGTATGATCCTGCTAAAATCTCTCCATCTGTATCAGTGAGAATTTTTTTCTCATTCTTCCTTCACTTTATTTTAGAAGATTTTGAAATCAAGAGTTTTTTGTTCCAGAGAGCTTTCTATTTACATTATCTCAAACAGGTCATGGTTTTATTTGTTTTATTTTTATAAAATAGATGCTGCTTTGTGATAAAGTGATGTTTACAAAGTGCTTAAGTACAATGTGAACTGTACCGATGCAGCTATCATTCCGTACATGATTTATAAAATCTTCACCGTCATATTTATAGAGGGAATAAAAAAACAAGCCTCTAAAGTACAAATTACTTCATGCTCTGTATTAAACACACCAAGCAGGTATAGCTTCATATCTCTATTGTGAAAGCTACTAGTCTATCTACAATGCTATGAGAGTTTGAATTTCTCCAGACGTAAAAAATTCTTACTCTGAGTAAACAACCTATTTTTTCAAGAAATATAAAAACATTAATTAATGTCTTTTCAATAATTTGGAACTACTAGTAAATCATTAGAGAGATTGCGTGTTAGACCCTTTAGACACTTTTTATATTTTGAAGACATATAAAAGAAGACATATCTTTTCAATAATTTGGGACTACTAACAAAATTAGTTTAATAACTTATGGATTATTATGGGTATTAGAACCATTAGGCACTTACAGAGTATCACTACAATAATCTCTCTCTCTCTCTCTCTCTCTCTTTCTATCTATCATCTATCTATCTATCTATCTATCTATCTATCTATCTATCTATCTATCTATCTATCTGACCCAATGGTCTGTTATAAAGGTGAATATATCCTTAACTTTTCAAGAAAGATTATGTTTGAAAAAGTATAGTTCTGAAGCTAGACACTTTCCTGGGAAAGTCTCTCAAACTTGTGCATATAATATCTATAAAGAATGCAAAAGAGGTCTAGAAGACCAGAAAGCAGTTGACCAAGAAATCAGGTTAAAAAGGTAAGTAGAAAATTGGCTGGCCAGTTTCAGAAACACAAGGTATTCTTGGCCATGTAATGATAGCAACTTCTCTTCTGACCCAACTAGTCCTGTTTTCCATCAATTCAGAAAAACAGAGTATAACTCTCAAAGCCAGTTTACACCTACAGTAAGATGCTTCTTTTTATAGTTTAAGTTGAATTAGGTGAAATTGGTCTTCTGTATGAGGTATGATGTGTTTTCATTAACTTTGACAGTTTTTATTCATGTTGTAACAGAATTTTGATACAAGAGTTTTTATTGCCTTATTAATTGTTTTAATATTTTTAAATTTTTGGTCTCAAAATCTAGATCTTGGTCAAAACATCTGAGTTGGGGAATTTAAAAGTTAAACATTGTGACTATACCTCCCAAATACACAAAATAAATCAAAATGCTATAACATAATTGAATATAAAAGAAAGAGAAATGGATAAATCAATGGATGGTAGGTGATACATTAAGCGAGAAATCTAGCATGCTAATTCTGTATGAACATTTCATGACAAAACCTATGCCAGAGAAAATGGGCTGGCATCAGATTTTGACATGATCCTAAAACTCTGCAAAGATATGCCAAAAAGATTTGTGCCCAAATTTGCATGAAATTTTCTTTTTAAAAGAATATTTTCTTATAATTTTAGTTCCAATGTAGAAATGAGGCAACTAGCCTGGATCAGGCTTGTTGGAGGCAGGTTCTTGCTCAAGTCAGAAGGAAAGGTAGCAGTTGGTAGACGCAATTGAACGTGAGCTATAATAGAACACATTTCCTTACTGCAGTCCAGTGACAGCCCATATGCAGAGTTTCAAGTTTCATACAGTTCAAAGAAACATGAGCTCAAACATATAGAAGATGAGGGGCATTCTCAAGCAAAGCAGCCAGATGCTTGGCTACTTTTACAGTCCTGTTTTGTCTCAATAAGGGCCACTTTCCATTTCTAAATAAGAATATCAATGCCTTTGACCCCTCCTTCTTATGTGAAATGCTTCCTTGTTACCCAGATGATTGAAGGAGCCTCTGCACAGATCACCAGATGTTTACTAAATGTATGCATCTGTGCAAAGTTCTTTCAGACTTCTATTTAGATGTTCTGATTCTTCACCCCTTTTCCAAACGCTCTGCAATAGCCAGGAGGCAGACCAGCTTTCCCAGTCAAACTTTCCTAAGCCTCAGTTTTAGATGCCTTGGGATGCCTTGTGGGAATCCTCTCACCCAAGGATGGTGTTGGTTGCCTATGCAATACAATATTTTCAGGAACATTGACCCTCATTGTCAAAGGACTCATTCCTCATTTGGAAGTATGGAAGAGAAAGAGAGAGAAAGAGTAAATGGAATCTACTTTAATTCTCTTACATTCTCTCGGAATACCTGGTGTCTCAGACGATCTCCAGAGAGCCCCCGGTGTCCTTCTCCGCAACCATAGGCACATCCCAAAGACTTGACGATTTTGATGAGCATAGTGAGGGCAAGCCTATGGTTGCTTACAGGTGTATTTTCATCCTAGTAATCATGATTGAGAAAGAAAGAGAAGCCTGTTGACTTTGCCACCAAGCTTTTTTGATACTAGAATTCTATTTATAAAATTAATGTGTGTTGGGGGCTGGAGATATAGCTCCATGGTTAAGAGCACTGGCTGCTCTTCCAAAGGTCCTGAGTTCAATTCCCAGTAATCACATGGTGGCTCACACCCATCTTTAATAATATCTGGCGTCCTCTTCTGGCATGCGGGAATACATGGAGGCAGAATGTCGTATACATAATAAATAAATCTTTTAAAAAATTATTGTGTGTTATATCAATTTAAAAAATAAAGTTGTCAAGAGTTCAACAAACACACTTTTTTAAAAACCTAGTACATGAACCAACAGAAAGAAACTGCATTCTGAACATCCTATGACAATACAGAATTTGAATGTGTTTATTCTAAGACATACTTTCACATCCTTGATGAATGTTCAGAACTACAACCTGGAGAGAGAGTGGGATGACCAACAGTGAACACAAATCGATTTTCTTAGCGACTATCCTTATCAGTATGTTTCTGATAACACCACCAGGCAAAGATGATTATTAGCTCTCTGGAACTGATCAAAGTCTGGAACTTGGAAATCTTATGGTAATAAAATTGACATTTTTGGAGAAAAACTTCCCGAGGTCTACTTCCATCATATTGTAATATACATAGTAACCACAACAAAGTAGACTGTATAGAACTCAATAAATACTCAGCTGGACTCCTGAGACTCATCCAGAAGCTCTCCTGAGATGAATTATAAAATTTGTATTTTGTCTCTGTTACTTTTGGAGAATGGAAAACAGGGATTTCCCCAAAAAAGAACTAGAATTCTTTCTATATAAGAATAAATAAGCTGTTTCTGAGGAATAATGCCGAGCCCACAGTGAGAGGGCCCTTATCTTTTTAATAGTTGAAGGCTCCTTACTCCTTCTGGCTATGTTCAACTATCAGCCTGTGCATCATGGAGCCAAGAGCTCATAGTCTGTAGTTGCTTATGGTGATACAAGACAACTGCATAAATTAACTAAATTTTCAGTGTTTTACTTTTCTGCCTGTGAAGTAAGGGTACTGATGGCTATCCTTCCCGTATCATAGGTTTTCCATAGAGACCAAATGAAACAGGGGAAGGGAATCACTCCACAATCATGAGGGTGTTTGTTTTCTCCCATTAGTCACACTGATGACAAAAAGAATACAGCAATGTGGGCACAACGTGAAAGGACTAGGGGGTTCTAGCCGCATTATCATCCACTTTACTAGAGAGAGGTGGAATCTCTCCTTCCCTAACATTACCCAACTGGTCCTCCTCCTCTTGTGTGCAAACTCAAGAAGCAGATGTGGGATGGTGCCCTAGAGAGCACACTTCAGGAATAAAACATCTGAGTGATAGCAATGTTGGTTAACCTGTCTCAACCAAAGACCTCCTCCCAGTGCAAAGTTGCCTCTATTAACCGTTCAACATCCTGTTGTTCGCCTGAAGGACTGTTTCTCCAGGGACTAGTCGGGGCACAAAGTAAGGAGTTGAAGGTCACTTTACATCACCTGATGACTGCTTTGAAGAATCATCCTTGAATCCAAAAAAAAAAAAAAAAAACCTCTATAATCATTACTTGCTAAGTAAGAAATGATTTTTAGTTTGGATCCAGATTATAACTTCAGTATTGAACAATTATGTGATCTTGGGCAAACTGTTAATATTTAAGACCCCATGCTTTCTAAAAAGGGAACCACGTTAATGCCTGCCTTGTAGAGACACTGTGAGAGGTAGGGGACAGCATGTGGTGGCCACAACAAGAGCAAAGCAAGCACAGCATTATTTACGGGCATGTGCCACCGCTGTCCCTCAGAGTCACTTGTAAGGACAGCTTAAGACTGATTGGATTTGTGTCCTCACTGGTCCCCTTAGTTGAGCACCCTTGGGTAACTCAGGAACACTGCAGCATTTTGTAGCAGCACCTTGGGAAAGGTCACACTGACAAGGGCTTCTCTGGAAGGTTGATTTACATAAAATTTAAAATTATTATATGCTCTTTAAAAGCTTTTCTAGCCCTGAGAACTCTTTGTACACATCCATCCAGGCTTTATTTCTTTAGGCCTTCAGATATCCTTGGGAGTTAGGTTGCTTTCACTGGAGACATGAAGAAAGATGTATTAAGCTACAGGCAGAAATCAGAGTTATTAAATGATATTTTAAGCTTTCATTATATGCTAGAGGCCAATAAAGAAATAGAAATTAGCTTTCCCTTTCTTTCTAGAGTCCTGGATAGCAAGTTGAAAAGCAGATAAACTTTAATTCCACAGAAAATAACAGATAGTTTTAAGGTAAAATAGATTTTTATAGATCTTGAAGTCTAATTGCAGTTTGAGAAGTGACTACATAATATTTACATCTTGGTTACTGTTCTGGAAATCACAAAATGTGACCTTAAAAATTTCCACATGTGGTAATTTTGGTCAAAATAAGATTTATTGTATCATGCTATAATATTAAATATAATAATTACTATAGTTACTTACTATAACTAAGAATTATATATAGTTGCTTAATTGTAGTTATATCATTATATAATTTAATTAATTGTTTACATAGTTATTAACTAAATGTATTTAAGATAATATTTAGACAGGAAACATGATTAAGACAAGAGTAGAAAATTCTAAATAAAGTAGTAAGAACCCAAGAATATTGGAATAGTTCTGTGGATCAGAGCTTATGAATTTTGGAGAGATACAATCAAATTGTGAGGTGAAGAAATAGAATATTAACAGAGTAAATATGCACCAGTGGGGCTCTAGGTAGAAAACAGTACTATTCATTTATATGTTAAAATCTGATATGGAAAAGCTTAGACAATCCAAAGTTTATGTAACAGATTGCAAAAGTGTTTACAGTGTAATCTTTTACTTGTAAACTTATCATGATATTATATATCATGATAATAATATCATGATATTATTGTCACCTGTTAAAAATTCTCTGGTTTATTTCAACTTATGAATATCAAATTGATGCTAAAACCTCCAACTGAAATCAGTGCAAGTTATGTGAATTTGAATGGTGAGAATTTGAATCTAAACTTCAAAATGACAGAAAAGAAATTCTTGATTAATCAATAGATTGTAAGGCATGATGAGAAGCAGCAAAAATGAAATTGGGGACAACCAATAAGAATCTGATAAGAGCCTCAGGGATGTGACACACTGAGACTCAAGAGAACTGAGGCTGGATATCTGTTCCCAAATTCAAATACTAAAGCCTTAACTCTCCCTCTGTTGGTATTGGAGACTGGCTTTGAGAGGTAATGAGAATGAAATGAAGTTAGATAAGGTGCCAGAGCCAGGGAGCCTCACAGAGAAACTAGTGTTCTCAGCATTTGTTTTTTCTCTTGCATAGAGGAGGTCACGTGAACACATAGTGATGGCGGTCACCTTCTGGCCCAGAGAAAAGGCTGCAGGAAACTCCTGCTGGCACCAGAAGCTTGGACTTTACAGCCTCTATAAATGCAAGAAGTCAATGTCTGCTGATAAATCTATGTAATTTTTGTAGAGTCTCAGTAGACGGTTGCTGAGTTAATAAGCCAGATAAGCAGTCTTGAGAAAGAAGCTATCCTTGCTGTCAGACTGAATTGGGATAACATAGTAGGTTTAAGATTCCATCTTCCAGAAATAATATTACCAAGAGAACAAAACAACCAACAAACCAAACAAATAAACAAAACTAACAACAAACCAGTTCTAACATTTTATGGGTGACAACTTTTGGATTTAGAAGCCAAACTCATCTAAGTCTCTACATATGCCTACTGAACGTGTCATTTAAAAAATTTCTACCATTATTGCTTTCAGACTCTAGGGACTTCTTGTTATTCTAATAAATAAATATTTGGGGAAAATGAGCAAAACTACACATATACACCCACCCCACATGCATGTTCACATATACACACTCACAAATGAAAAAGAATTCTGGACACCTAACTGCCTGAGAACACAGCAGCTACAGATTCAACCATACCTTCTCTTGGTTCTTCTCATTCTTCTCATAAGGACCACCTCCACCTCCTCCACCTCCTCCTCCATTTCCTCCACCTCCGCCTCCTCCATCGCCACCTCCTCCTTCTCCTGCTCCACCATCTCCAGCTCCACTAGCAGAAGGGGCCCCAAACCCACTGGTGGAACTTGAAGACACGCCTTTGAACTGGAAAGTCCCCTCGCTTGGTCTCTTTTCCACAGTGTCGTTTTCCTTGTTTTCACTTTTCTTCCGACTTTTCTCTACACAGGGAACTACACCAAGTTGAAGCAAACATTCCACAATGTTTAGTGCCACATCACAGATGCGAGAACTGATGTCATGGTTCAGGACAAGATAAACAGCCTTCAGAACCACCTGCAGAGCACAAAGGTAAACACAAGACAATGAGGTTGCCTACATTCTCTTTTCCAAAAGTCTCTCATTCTGTTTAATCCATTTCACCGGGCACTAGTAGAAATGGTTATAAATAATTCAGGCAGAAGAATTAAAGACATCTAGTATCTCATTAAGCCTTTCAATTTTGCCAAGAAAGAAATAGTTGATGGAAATAATGAAGCACATTGAGTTAATTTTTTAAGAAAAATCATTTGCCCAAATGCACACCTAATTGACTTTTTAAATACAAAATATTTTAATCCTCTGCATTTCCCTTTCCACAAACAATAAGGAGTGAAGGCTTCCTTAGACTTACACCCAGGGACATCTACGCCCTCATGCTTGTATCATTATTTAACCTCCAATTTTAAATGCATAATATTTGAACATTTAAATTATGATCCTTTATTGGTTTTAATATCTTAAATTATTTACTGAGCCTGGTTCCATACAGTGCAATAAAAATGTTGGTAAAATATAACAATGCTTTCATTGGTTAATGACTGTACTCAAAACGGGCACTCCTGAGAAAGCAAGCTGAAATCTTTCAAGGACTTCTATTCATTCCTTGTTCCTTCTGGCTTCGTGGGAGGCTCACAGTCCCGGTGATTCTATAACTAAAGAGAAAGCACAGAGGTGCAGTGGAGCATACACTCAGATGTATCTACATATGTGCATTTGGGTTCACTAAGGCTTTAGACAAACACATTCTAAGATCAAATATAATAAAATACTTGAAAAAAAAAACAAATGTACATTTAAGATGGCTGACATTCCTGTGTATTTGTATATGGATTGCTTCTTCATTTTAAGATACAGCTAATACTTCTAAGATATCTGCATGCCCATGTTACCCACTCTTCTAAAAATTACACTAATGTCTCTTTCGTCTTTATAAGTAAAAGTACTGCTCCTTACAGAAAGATCCAGCATGCCGTTCTTATGGACAAAGTTGTTGGTCCCATCGATGTGCTCTGTGTCCTCCAGGTAGCTGTAGTTAATGCAGGAATCTGTGAGGCTTCGCGGCAAGTTTGCACATGCCAGGGGTTCGTGCGGCATCTCTGGGATAGGCACTTGGCTGCAGAGTTTCCGCATATGCTCACTGAAAAAGTCCGCATAGCCGACATTGAAGGATGCCAGCGTGGTGTTGAAGGTGGCAACTGTGATGGTGGAGATCTGTGACCGTACTGGGAAGACAAGAGCAAGGTTTCAGGTTTCCTCACATGGACCTGATCCACCAGTTAGACTGTTGTGCTACTTCTTACATTGTGACCACAATCAGAACGTTTAAAGATAACGGACTATTTTCAACTTGCAGGGGAGGCCGTGAAGGCAGTCTGATAGCTGACAGATAGTGAGGGCACATAGAACTGTGATCACAAACACTCCTTAAGACTGAAGTGATGGAGGAAGGTCATTGGTTAATTAAATAAAGAAACTGCTTGCCCTGATAGGTTAGAACATAGGTAGGTGGAGTAAACAGAACAGAATGCTGGGAGGAAGAGGAAGTGAGCTCAGACTCGACAGCTCTGCTCTCTGGAGCAGGGGCCATGCTCCCCTCTCCCGGGCAGACGCACACGATGAAGCAAGCCACCAGGTCAGACATGCTGAATCTTTCCCGGTAAGACTGATGCTACACAGATTACTAAAAATGGGTTAGGCAAAATATGAGAATTAGCCCGTAAGAGGCTAGAGCTAGTGGGCCAAGCAGTGTTTAAAAGAATACAGTGTCCATGTAATTATTTCGGGGCATAAGCTAGCAGGCGGCCGGGGTGCTGGGGACGCAGCCTCATGGCTCCAATTACAACAGAATGGCGCCCAATGTGTTTTTGTTTAAACAGAAAAAGGGGAAATGATGGAGGAAGGTCATTGGTTAAAAAAATAAAGAAACTGCTTGGCTGGCCCTCATAGGTTGAAACATAGGTGGGAGGAGTAAGCAGAATAGAATGCTGGGAGGAAGAGGAAGTGAGCTCAGACTCAACAGCTCTGCTCTCTGGAGGAGAGACGCCATGCTCCCCTCTCCCGGGCAGACACGATAGCTCTGCCCTCTGAGGCAAACGCGATCGATGAAGCTCCGACCCAGGATGGACGTAGGCTATAATCTTCCCGGTAAGCGCACCTCGGTGCTACACACTTTATTAGAAATGGGCTAGTCCAGGTGCGAGAGTTAGCCAAGAAGAGGCTAGATATAATGGGCCAAGCAGTGTTTAAATAAACACATTTTGTGTGTTGTTATTTCGGGTAAAGCTAGCCAGTGGTGGGAGTTGGGTGGCGGAATGCAACCCGCAGCTCCTACTACACAATGGTGCCCAAACAGGGACTTGAACCCTGGACCCTTAAATGTAAAGCTAGCCATGCGGGAGCCGGGCAGGACGAAAAGCAGGCCTGCAGCTGCCACTACACTGAAGCTAGAATTTAAATTTCATAACAATAACTGAAGTTGATAACATTCAACTTAACATACTTAAGTTGATTACATAGACTATTTACTGTTACATGACAGCTCATTGATATAATCTGATTTATTTGCGATCTTTTTCTATGAGTTTATAGCTGTTAAATAAACTTCACTTTGTTAAACTAAACATCAGAAACTTGAGAAAGAAACTAGTAGGGATGGAGATGGGGAGGATGCTCTGGTGTGGATAGGAACTAGAAGGAGACAAAAAAGGCCTAAGTGTGGGACGGAGAGAGTAGTTAGAACATACTGTATACGTACTTGAAAGTGCCAAACAGTCAACCAAAATGCAGCTCAGATTTGTAATGACAACTAATTGACTCCACTGAATACATATAGTACAGTTGGGAACAGAGGGGACCAAGGAGTAAAGTTTATGATAACGTGAGAACATGAAAAGAATGCAAAGAAGAAACAGTTCTGCTGCAAGTAAAGAGTAAGAAGCTGTGCACCACACATTTGCTCTGCATAAAGCATCAAGGTGAAGAAGTGGCTGTCAACAAAATGATCTGGTGGCCTGAGAGAGGTTAGACTTCCTTCGCACTGATTTGTAGGACCTGCCTGCCTTGGAGGTATAGCATGGAGGTGGACGAGCAATGAATCTAGACATTCTCCAGCCTTTGGGCTTATGATATTTTGGAATATGTATGAGTGCTTTGTTTCTTCCCCTGAAGGAATATTGCTCATCCAGCAGTGTCAACCATCCCCTGCTACTAAAGCTGTGCTAAGAGTAACTAACAAGCACACTTCTGAGCAATACAAATGAAAGATGCAGGGTTATGAAAATATAAGGATGCAGAGAACAATCAACCTGGTATGCCTGATGTTTGTATATCAATTTGTCACAGGCTAAAGTCACCTCAGAGGAGGGGACTTCAGTTAAGAAAATTCCTCCTTAAGGTCAGGCTGTAGGAAAGCCGGTTGTCCATTTTCTTAATTAGTGATTGATGGGGGAGGGTCCAGCCCATTGTAGGTGGTGCCATTCCTAGGCTGGCTGTCTGAGTTCTAGGAAAAAGCAGACTGAGCAAGTCCTGAAGAGCAAACCAGTAAGCATCACCCCTCCATGGCCTCTTCATCAGCTCCTGCCCACAGGCAGCTTCCCCACTTCAGTTCCTGTTCCGACTTCTTTCTATTAGGAGCAGCGATGTGGAAGCATAAGCCAAATAAACCCTTTCCTCCCCAAGTTGCTTTTGGTTACTGTGTTTAATCACAGCATTGGAAGCCTTAGGTAGGCTGTGTGTGTGGATAACAGTTTAAGAATGGGAAACCATGAAAGACATCTGCATGCCATCCCTATCCTGCCTACAGCCCATCAACAATGCTCGACCCACCTTCCTTGACAGTGTTTTCTCCGTGGCTGTTGGAGTGGTCTGGGAGGTCGCTCACCAGGGTGTGGTGGGAGTGCGAGGGCCGGGCACTCAGACTTTCCATTTCAGTGGCTGCGTCTGAGCTGCCCCGCCGGGTCAGTTTCCCTGAGATGGACGAGAGTATTACTAGACACTTTTAAAATCTAGACACGCTCTGCTGAGAGTTTTTTCCCCCCTTCTGGAGGACAGCAATAGAGTAAGAGTGTATGAAGGTGAGCATGAAGCTCAACCAAAATAGCAAGGCTTGACTTGGGAATAGCCAAGGTCAAGATGACAGATGAGATTGCCCGTGGTAAGGTCAAACCCAATCTAAGTCCAATGTCAGAGACCATCTGTTGTGGCTTGCTGCCTGTCAACTTCTGATTTTAAGTTTCCCTTCTTAATATGCCATCCAAAGGGGATGGGTTACTATTTCCTTTGCTTTACTTCTTTATTAAATAAAAGTAAATAAAAGTCTGTCATTAGATGAAACATGAAAATTAATATATAGAATCCTCTATGGCCATGTTTCTATGTCTATAAGGATCTAAGAAATATGGCTTTTAGTGGATAATCATAGAGGAATCTTGCATAATTAATAAATTATCTGCATTTCTTTGGTTGTGAAAACCCCACATTATTTTAGTACTGGGGAACTTGCATTTGGGCACAGTGTTCTTAAATAAACTGTTCAAGAAAGATCAATATTTGGAAGGGATCCTGAGCTCCACATTCACAATTAGGTCACTTGGTCTACACCCTACTGGGAAGAAGATCTTTGTAGTCACCTAAGATGGTGGTTTGCCAGCCTCCCTTTTCGATGCCTCTCCTGTCTTCGCCCAGTCCAGAGAAACTCCCGAATGAGAATGTGCTTCTGGTGGGTGAGACATCTAGGTGGTCCTCATGCAGTAGGAATGGTACACCCATTCTTCTAGGGCGCCTCTTCCCCGTGTGGTGAAATGGAATGGAGCCCTTCCTCTCTCGGTCTTCTTTGCGACTTTTGAACTATAATCACGAGAAAAGGAGGGAGACACAAGACAAAGGAGACGTAAGAGTGAGCACAGGATATATTTGAGGAAGAGGACTCGCAGGGTGTTATTGAGTATCATCCAGTCATCAGGGGGAAAATGTCACAAGGATGTTAATGGAGGGAGGGAAACTAAGCAAAATGCTATATTTTCTGGAGGTCTCTCTGCTGGGTGAGTTTGAACACGGGTTCTCGCAGAGAAGACCCTGAACCATCAGCGGTAGCATCCTTTGGGAACTTGTTAAAAACTGCAGCTTCAACCTCAGACATCCCTAACATCTAAAATTCAGAAGGAGAAGCCTGGTGATCTATGACTTTACAAGCCCTGTGGGTGCCCTGATGCTTGAAGCACACTCAAGGCCGAGAACCACTAGGGCAGAGAATCAGTGTCCCTAGTCACAGCTTGGTTCTGTCTCCTTGTCTCTGTTCTACTTTCCAAGTTTGAGGTCTGGTTAGTAGCTTCACTCTTCACAAAGATGGTCAAAGAAGACACATTATAGTCATTGGTACAAATCCTATTATTCATACCAAAGGCATGCAAGATTAAGGGTAACTCAGTTTAGAATGGCTTCAAAAGCTTTAAAACCACACCCATGTTTGAACCTAGCTTTCAGCAATTGATTTTGACTACATTATTCTAGGCTCAGGCCTGGGCACTTAGATTTTTAAAGCACTAAAATACCCATCTGCTTCAAGAATAGAAAAATACATTGTCTCCCGCTCCCAAATAGTCAATGTTTTTAGAAGAATGATGGTCAATCCCTACTGCTGTGTTAATGAAGGAGACACAACTCATTATTTAGTAAGGGGGTGAGCTGATAGACAAGAAAATACCTGTTTCTATGTTCCTCATGGACACAATTAAACAAACAATTTTGAAAAAAAGGAAAAGAAAAACAAAGCTGACACACACACACACCATTTTCTAGTTGATTAACTCTATATAATGATGAACGATAGAATGGCAGATCTAGAAGAACGTGAACTTTTTAGATAGAAGCTTTTATTTATTTATTTTTTGTCAGTATTAAGCTTAAGCAAAATGCCTAACATTTCTGTGGGTTAATTTTTTTTTCCAGAAAATTTTGAAGAATAGGCTCTCACTGGATTAATCAAGAATTACTTGTATGAAGTATCTGGTAAATGAAATAGAGCCACAGGAAAGAAAACTAGCAGATAGCACACTGGACCGCCAGCATGGGCCTTCAGGATAACTGTGTGGAACGTCTAGAATAGGACACATACACACACACACACATTTACACACACACACACACACACACACTCACATTGGGTTACAGAGTCATGATATGAGTCACTGTTACACTTAGAAGCTGACATTTTCTCCCTTTTCCACCCCTGCATCCTCTGATAGGTCGAGGGCAGTGTGCCCCTCTGGCTTTCTAAATCACTGAGATGTCAAAACGTATACTCACCTTCTTAAAGATGTTCATGCCCAGGTCTGAAGACAGATCTGGGACCGCAGATCTTCGAAGATTGGTCAGTGAAACCTTGGAAAAAGCCTCGGGGCTTAGAGATTTTTCTTCTTCATTACACTTCATGGTGAGATCCTTAACAAGCAATAAACATAGACTATGACTTAGTCTTAGGGACTTGGATAATTTCAATACTTATTTTATTGAGGTATTGCCTTTATAATGGCTTCATGACTTTTGTTTTGAGTTCTATAAAACTTTTTAACTTGCATGTTTAAACTTCTGGAATCTAAATTATGCTGTTGCAAAAAATTAATTTCCTATTACTATCTTAACTTCTGCTGCAAATTTTAACACGGAGGCCATTTAACCAAAGATCTAAAAGTCATAAGAATATAGGGAGAAGATACATATTTTTATATAAAACATTTTCCATATGATATACTTTGATCACTTTTACCCTTCTCCAAACTCACCCATATCTTTCCAAGAGGAGAGTTTTCTAGTTAATAATATGTTAAAGGAGATGCTAATTGTGGGAGGATGTCTACTACCAAAGAATGAGCAGGAAAACGTTTTCAGAACAACCCACTCAAGTTTAACTACAACCAAACAGCTGGGATGCTCTGCAAGCTAATAATTTCTCTGTATTTTCACCACATGGAGCTGATGAGAAGGATGGGAAGATCAAGTGCTTCACTGAAAAGCCGGCATCATTTATCAGAATATAATCTTCATAGAAATGTTACCGCACCAGGGTGTATTCAGGTTATTTCTCTCGATATTCATAATAAATTGTAAGCCTGTGTATCTAAAATTATTTCTATTGGTAGTTTTTAGATGCTTAAGATTTTGAGTTGGGCAAAAAATTAATTTTGAATCATAATCTATAAAATGCTAATTTCCTACTTTATTATATTTAATTATGAGTATGCATGTCAGTTCCTTATTCTAACTATTTCTCTAATTTTCTAGGAGACCCAATTTTCAATGTTCTGGTTAAACAAAGGCTTATACTAAAGTATACGTACAAAAGGCACACTTCTGTAAATATAGGATACATATGTATCTGTGCAAAATAGTAACTAGAGATAAGAAGAACAGTCACAGGTTCTGGCCATGCAAAAGAAGAGAAGTATATTGACAGGAGAGTTAGTCACCAACAAAGTTTTAGGTGTGGAAATGCACAACTGCTTGAAGCCAGAAGAGAAGAAGAAAGTGTTACAGCTGATGTTGTTAAGTGATAATGAACCAGGTTTGTCTCACTTGGGTCTTGTGGGTGTTCACTAGCGAGGGAGCCGCTGCCACCATCGAGCTACTTCTGGGCCTGGGCAGGAGAGGGATATCTGGTTCTGGGGTCTTTTCTGGCTTCTCTTCCAGCATGTGTCGCAGCCTTTGTAGATAGTACATCAGAGACCACTGAGTGCCTTCCTCAGACCAGTGGGGCTGGAGAAGGCAGCGGAGAACAGCAACATCGAAGTAGGTGGCATAGCGGGACCTCTGGCATGATGGTATCACAAGAGAGGCCCTGTTCCCAGTGACAGAGAAAAGATAATTACACTGGCATCAAGTCTCCCAGGGGACAACACAACACAGCCTAAGGCTCTCCTGGGCATCAAGTCTCCCAGGGGACAACACAACACAGCCTAAGGCTCTCCTTTTTTTTTAATTCACTTATTCACTCATTACTTATTCACTTATCCACTCATCTCTTGCATGGTTCGTGCTAATGACCTCCTAACTAGGTTAGCTCATTCCACTTTGGTTTAGCATTTCTTAAAAACAGAAACATTGAGAGTTTTGAAGGAGGGGTTAGAAATTAGCAATGAAAAGTTGGCTCAGGAAGACAAACTGGTATTTTAAGTCAAAGGAAACCATGTCTATAAAGGTCTTGATTAAAAAACTCGCAAGTTGAGTATGGGCATCATCTGCTGGTGGCACAGTTGACGAGCAATTGATGACATCTGGGACAAAGAAACCGAAGAGGTTCAAGTCGTTAAGTTTCCTAAGCTATCAGGTATGACCACAATAAAAGCAGGGGCGGTATTTTTCTTCCTTACTGTCTTGGGCAATTTTTAATTCAGAGTGAAAGTATTATGTAAAACAAACAAACAAACAAACAAAGGGATAAAAACAAAACAAAAGCCAGAAACATTCTAAACAAACCAAAGTTTGATTATTATGAAAATTAATCATTTTGAAATTTTTCAAGTTACGTATCTATGTAAGACTGCAGAAGTAACTGTAAAATTCTCAAAGTTCCAGGATGCCACAACTCCACTTGGATGCAGGATATTCATTAACTAAAGACCAGTTCACTAAAGGAGAGGTTTAAGTAATTACCTAGATTATTACTCCATGGTAGGTATCTTAAGAGAATTGGACTGAGTATTTTTGTCCTTGGAAATTAGTATTTTCAAATCCCAATGTGCTAGTAATTAGGGGTGGGGATAATTAGGTCATGAGTCTTCACAAGTGGGTATAAATAATCCTGTACACAAAACAGTTCAGGGTGCCCTCTCGCTGCCTCCCTATCACATGGGAGCACCAGAAGCCTGCAGCCTGCACCCAAAGTCAATTATCCTGATGCCCTCATCTCGGATGTGCAGCCTCTAGGATTGTCGCAGATACATTTCTCTTGTTTAGAAACTGTTCAGGCTATGTCACAGCTGGCCAAACTAAGACAGCTGTGGGTGTAAAAGTCTGTCTTGTGGAACATACCATCCAGTAAGAATGATAGAAAATAAATGATAAAATAAAATCAGCTTTCTGGGAGCTGAGCCCTCCTGGGATATAAACTGGAACCTTGATCCACAAGCACACTTTTCTTCCAAGTTAGATGATGCGGAAAGAAAGTTTTGACACCATCCCCGCACAAAGAAAGACCTCCTGAGAGAAAATGCAGCCATTGAGAGTGAGGAGTAAGTTTCCTGAATGTCCAAGTTCCTGATGTTGGGGATTTCATTCTTTGTTCATTTGTCTGCCTGCTTATTTGAAACAGGTCTCCATAGGTAGCATAATCTGGCCATAAAATTTTGATTCTCCTAACTTAGCCTCCCAAGCGCTGGATTATAAACATGTGCTGAATTGAAAGATCTATAATTTATCAGTGGTTTAAAATGAACAAAGCAAGACATAGTTACAGTTAGCCTGCTATTGAAAATAAACGGCATGAAATCGGGGTTTGTGTGTCTGGTGGGGCCTTGGTTCTACAAAAATCATGAGTCAAACACACACACACACACACACACACACGCTACAAATGCAGGTTGTAGAAATAGTTTTTAAAAATAAAACCCCTGGTCACATCTGGTACCCTGCTTGTCATTTTTACAGCCCTTTCTACTCTCTTATCAAACCACAGGACCCACTGCTGTTTCTATTATCATTAACAACATCTCTGGAATACTAAGTGACAACTCTCCACGTAAATGAAAGTTCTGAATGTCATTGTTGTCTTTAAAAAGTATTTTCAAATATTATTGCATTTGTTTATTGTATATGTTTGCATGTATGTGGGTGAGTGTACCACTGTGGGTGTAGAAAGGTGAGAAGACAACTGTGGCAGCCAGTTCTCTCCTGCCATGTGGGCTAAAGAGATCAAACTGAGGCCTCCAAGCTTGGGGGCCAATGTTCTTAACTGCTGACTCATCTCCCCAGCCCTTGGTGTTATCTTATAGTTGCCTATTCTGGATAATTTAGATAACAATTAGAAAATAATTAAATTTAAGAAGTTCAAGCACTTTAGACATCACATATGAAATTATATCTATGACTAAATTATCTCTATCTATCTATCTATCTATCTATCTATCTATCTATCTATCTATCTATCTATTTACCATCTATCTATCTATCTATCTACTATCTATCTATCATCTATCTATCTATCTATCTATCTATCTATCTATCTATCTATCTATCTATCTTTGGGTTTTTAAGACAGGATTTCTCCGTGTAGCCTTTGCTGTCCTGGAACTCACTCAGTAGACCAGGCTGGCCTTGAACTCACAGAAACTTCCTTGACTCTTCCTCCCAAGTGCTGGAATTAAAAGCATGTGCCACCACTGCCCTGCTTACACATTAAATTTTTAATTGGGATGGAAGTCATATTGAATAGGCTTTCTATATAATCCTAAATTCTCAGAAAACTGGATTGGGAAGTAAAATACTCTGATCATCAGCCAATTCTAAGTTTATCATAGGGTACCAGAGATTGAATTTTAAATCTATTATAGCATTCCAGAGATTTAATTTTAAATCATCATAGAGTCCTAGGGATTCTCCTTCCCACAGTTTCTCATCAGCTTTACCTATAGACAGCATCCAAGTGCTAGAGGCCAATATGTTTCACCAGTAGGATCCCAATTATGTCCTTCAGATCTCCCTGCTTCTTCTCTTGTTCACCATTCCTTGAATTTTTAAATCATTCTTAGAATGAAATGCAAAATCCATACAGTGCTGAACGTCTGTCCAATGTGCATTCAAATCCATTTTCTTTGTTTCCTTTTCCCCTTCCACCTCCTCATTTTCCTTATTGTTACTGCTGTTTTATTTTATTTTATTTTTTTTAATATTTATTTATTATGTATACAATATTCTGTCTGTATGTATGTCTGCAGGCCAGAAGAGGGCACCAGACCTCATTCCAGATGGTTGTGAGCCACCATGTGGTTGCCGGGAATTGAACTCAGGACCTTTGGAAGAGCAGGCAATGCTCTTAACCACTGAGCCATCTCTCCAGCCCCCCTGCTGTTTTATTTTTGAGAGTTTCATGTAGCTCAGCCTGACTCCCAACCCACTAAGTAGCCTAGCCTGGACTTGAATTTATGGTCTTCCTGCTCCAGTCTCTTGAGTGCTGGGACAACGGGTATGTACCATGCTATCTATTCCAACCTTATTTTTTATTCTGCATGCACTGGTGTTTTCGTTATCAATATACTTGCACTGCTTTTCAACTCTAACTAATTAATTAATTATTGCTTAAAAAAACCCTCTTTCACTATCTTTTCAAATTTTCCAATGGACTTTTCAATGCCTTCTGGACCTTGACTGTTTATGCCCGCAGCACTAGCTTGAGGGGAAATAATAACCTTGATTTTCATGTCTACACAATTTTCTAAGAGACTTTCATTTTCTCCCCTCCCCAAACCTATTCCATTTCTCTTTCCTAAAGAACCATGATGTAGTTTGTTCCTCTAAGCCTATCATTTACACCTAAGTGAATAGGAATTCTTTCCAGTGTTAGAAATATAAAGAAAAAACAAAGTACGAGGTTGGCTGGATACCAGCTGGGTAATTTCAGGTCCTCAAGTCATCATGACAGTCATCTAGTTTATAAGAACCTTGACTAATCCTCTGCGGTAGAGGCAGCTATCAGCAGGTCAGCAGAATTATTCCCTCCTTTGACTAGCTATAGTTAGCATAAACTCTCTCCTTTGTCTCCACAACTTAGGGTTCTCAAATTTTATAGTTCTTAGACTAGGTTTTATCTGCTAAAAGTTTCAAATCCCTAGAACATTGTCCCATATGAGATACCAATGGACCACTTCTATAAAGTCCACAAGAAGCACAAGAAAGGGGGAAGACGTTAAGAAAACAGACATCAAAGTTTCCCCTAAAATTTCCCAAACTAAAATTTCTGAGGGTCAGGTTCAAGAAGTTTTGTCCTAAACAGTATCCTCAGGTATTTCTTAAATACCCTTAATAAACTGGAAGAACAAATGCCCTAGATCTCTGCCCTTATAGACCAATATTCAAAACAACTGCTAAAGTGAAACATCGTCATTGGTTGACATGCTGACTGCTTAACGTCCCAGGACACCTGATGACTAAATTTATGTCTTTCTCTACACACTGAGTTTATTCAACTGAAACTAGAGACTAACTGTTCAGTTAAGTCCTCTAGGCATTAGCATCAATCTCATCATCATCATCACCATCCTCTTCCTCTTCTCCTCCTCCCTTATTCCTTATTCTAACAGAGGTTGTCAGTTCAATGATTGGATGGCAGGCTGCAGAACAGCAAGACTCCCTGGACATAAATAAGGCTGTGACCAGAGACTGAAAACATTCCCCCAACTAGGGCAATTATAGATTCATATTTTAGTTGATTGATATGGAGTAAACTCTATTTGAAACTGAAGGAGGGTAAGGGGAACTTAAGCTTAAAAACAGGTAAGGGTCTTTAAGAAGGGCTGTTTCTTGCCCCCAAGTTTGCCCCACTCTCAAGAGAATGTTCTTGTTACAAAGAGTCCTGCAGGGGAAACTCGGTAGAACCAACCATGGAAAAGTCTGGAATGGGTGGGTCCCCATGAACCTATACAAAGTCCAACCTAGAGACCCTGGGTAGACCCACACCTCTGGGGCCCCTCCCACTCCATTCACAGGAGCTGTTTGTCGGTTCTAATAAAGTTTGTCCTTTAGTTCGTTTTTCTCTCTTTGGCTGGTGCTTCTCTGCTCCACAGTCAACCCGGAACTTCCTTTAGCTGCATCAGCTACCCTAGAGTCCATCTGTAACTGTTACTT